CTAGGTGTCCTGTATCGATCCTGAGGCTGATTGATATATGAGGGCAGGCTCAAGGCAAGATCTATCTGCGTAGATACAGGCTAACAGCGTTATCCACTGGCGTGAGCCATCCTGTATCGTAGTCCTCCTCCTTATGCCCTCGTACGAGGCCTTACTAAAGATCCTCCTTGAACGACTTACGATACCAAGCATGAAGCCCTTCTCATCCATATTGTAGATATGACGCGCCTCGACGTGATATTGATTAATTTTATCGCGTAGGAGGCTAAAGTAGAGGTTGTATTTGCTTCTTGAATCTGCTTTGTGGCGACAGTTATTAAGGCCTTTTGCCCACCTTGAGGTAAGTTGATCAGGATAGCGCTGGACGAAGCGACTAGCCCAGTGTACTCTAACCTTAGTCTTGGCGATCTGTGAGGCAAAATTGCGTATTATTGGCTGAGTAGGTGGTAAGCCTCTATCTGTTAGTCGATTGATATAGGCGATTAGGGCCTGCTCCTGCTGTGGGTGGAGGAGCTGCCGTTTTTGGCCACCTATCGCGCGTGAGGCGTGTAGGCCTTGGTGTCTTCGGGTAAGCGTAGATTGAACAACACTATATTTTTTTGCAATATCTGTATACGAAAAAGGCTCATCAGGTCCTAGGGCATTAATAGCTGCAAGCGCAGCCTTAATATTAGCCATGGTGGTGGGGATACGACGCGTTGAGGTTGAGGTGGTTGTAAGGCGCGCGCGCACTTTGTGGTCGCGCGCACTTTGTGGTGGGGCTAGTTATGCAAGGGCCGTTGATTAGTCTACTAGGGATTCCCCAATCCTGCCACTGCCATCAATGAGTCGCTGCAACCACGCCGTAATCTTACTGCGTGCGAGTGGGGTAACCATCTCAAATCCGATACCGAGATCGTGGACTTTGGAACATCTGTTCCCCATGCCCCTGCTTCTTTGAAAGCTAATAAGAATGAAGTAATTATAGCGGTGCTCAGATCACGGTATCTTCGCGTCCAACGACCTTTGCTATATTGTAGACTTCTGGTACCCCTAGTGCACTTATCCTTTAGCGGACATGTGCCCCGAGTTTAGGAACCTGGGATGATCCTTGAAGCTGGGGTTGTCAAGCATATTCTTATGTTTGAGACAGCAAGGGTTGTAGCAAACTGGAAATTTTAAACAAGAGAGATTAGCGGTAGCTTGATTCCGTGCCGTGCCACGATACTATGACGCTTAGCATCAATGGCATGGCAAGTACAAAACACACTGACCTGCTTCAAGGCAACACATTGCACATACTTGAGGTTCTTTTACTTGATACTTTAAAAATGGCAGGCTTCAATCCGGAAATTCCCGGCCTCCATGACTTGGACGCTGAATACATTGCTTACACCAATGCTCCTACACTTTTGATGCAGATTGGCACATTATTTGGTGCCACAGCCCTGGTCATCAGTCTGAGATGTTATGTCCGAATCGCTATGATACGTTCATTTGGTAAAGATGACTGGACTATTCTGCTGGCTTTTGCATTTGCTCTAGCATCGTTCATCATATATGTTATGCTGGCTAGGATAGGATTAGGGAAGCACCTTCCAGTCATTCGCATGAATGAAGAGGGCTATCGAGAGTTCTCAAAACTTCGTCAAGTGCTGTCTATAACTGTGGGAGTTGGTATTGGGCTCGTCAAGATCTCAGTTGCGTTTTTCTTGTTGCGTCTTGTAACAAAAAAGGCCTACAAGTGGTTTCTGAGAGGCTTTATTGTCTTCATGTTGTTGTTTACTGTTGGTTGTACTGGAGCACTGGGTACGTGGGAGTAAGAGTAGCGTTGAGAGGCTCATATACTGACTGGGAATAGTAAGTCGAACGACAATTCCCCTAGATTGCGATGCGGCAGCGGCCTCGCATGTTCGAATATTATCCAGCGTATGGTCGATCTGATCGCTGAATAGATATGGCAATGCACTCCGGTTGCAGCCGCGTGGGATTTGAGGCTTCGTCCACCTCCAGTTGGATCAGGCACTGCTGTGTGTTTTAACGCGAAAACGTTCACAGCAATAGGGCTCATGAATACAGGTGAGTAGCCTATGGCTCGCTTGGGATCTTGCTTACCCCCCATCAGCCGTCACTATTGCGACAGATTTCCTTCTGGCTTTACTTCCAGTTCCACTTGTATGGAAGTTACAGCTCAACGGCCGTAGTAAGGTCACTCTGGTCTGCATTCTAGCCCTCGGACTGTTTGCAGGCGTGGCTGCAATCATCAAATCCGAAAAGCAAAAGACCATCTTCTCTAATCCCGATCCATACGTCAAAGATACCTTCGTGATGTGGAGGTTCATCGAATATTTCATCGGCATCATTGCAGCATCATTGCCATCACTAAAGCCTTTGTTCAAGCAACTGCTCAGCAACGGCACTCGAGCAACAGAAGAAGCTTCGAGTCAACCCCTACCCAGTAGACAGCGATACTCGACCCGGATCAAAACGGTAGAGGATGATGAGATACCATTGGAGATATATGGGAAGATTGGCCATTCGGTCGAAGTTTCTTCAGGCTGTTGTAAGGTTCAGGGAGAAGGCGAGGACAGGGGTGATAGTGTCCGGACACTTGAGCCCAACACAATCTTGGTTGAGGAGAAGTGGCGCGTCAGTTAAGGGGTATGGCTGACAAAGTCAAAGAATGGCTTGGTAAAAATAAATCAACTTCGATTTGCGTCTTACCTACTTGCTGGATTCTGGATGCTTCACCGTGCTGGTGAATGTGTGAAACTGATGAACATAACGGTTGATGCTTCCCAATTTTGACTTGATAATTATGGGCGATTGGCACCAAGACAAGCCACATGGCGGTAGAAAAAGTATCGTGTGCAGGCGACTTGGCTGGTCGTGTGGCTGTCCCTAGTGAATACGACGTACGGGGGATCGACGTCAGTGGCCTAAGCTCCGAAAGTGGGCTGTCCCGAACACCAAGCCTCCCGCATCTTCGGCCACCGCATCCAAGATGCCGAACCGGGCGCCGCCAGCACGATTATGGCCACCGTGAAGCGCAGAGACTTGATCCTTGCTGCCGCCGCCGCCTTCGTTGCCTGGGGATACCTGACACACTGGCAGCCCAAGCTGCTCTACCTGCCCTACGCCTTCGTCACCGGAGTCCTCGCGACACTCGCACTGCTAGCATGGCTCACCTTCACGACCGCCTGGGACAAAGACCTGCGACGCGGTGGAAACGTCGACTATGGACCGCGCCACGTCACCTTCATTGCGCCGGAGAAGTGGAAGGCTGAGAGGGAGGCGCTGGACCGGAGGAACATGTACATGATGGAACCGCTATACCCCGCGTCCTTTATGATATCCGACAGTTTCGACGTCCTGATTGGCTTGATACTGCGCGACTTTGTCAAGAGCTGGTATGGGAGCATTAGCAAGAGCCCGACGTTCGTGAACGAGGTCGACAAGGCGATACGCGCGGCCATGGGCGAGCTCCGCGATCGCATACTGGCGGTAGACATGGTCGAGACGGTCGTGTCGCGCATGATTCCGCTTGTCACCGACCATCTGCGAGCCTCATACGAGGCCGAGCGCGTGGTGCGCGGGCGCAAGCTGTCGCGCAACATCACCGACTCAGAGGAGCTTGATCTCGCCATCGCAGCCAAATTCAAGGAGGGCCGACTGCACCCGGCGGCGTCTTTGGCGTACTCAAACACCAAGCCTATACAGCAGCAGCACCTACGGAGCATCGTCACGCGACTGCTGCCAAAGATTATGCCCGGCAACATGTCCACGAGTCCTGCTGTCAATGTGCTGATCAAGGAGATTGTGGCCTGTGCGGTTTTGTCACCCGTGATGCACATGCTCGCCGACCCCGACACGTGGAATCAGCTAATGGAGGGTTATGTAAGAGCTCGCCCGTCTAGAGTAAGCCTATGCTGACAATCACAGGGCCGGTCTGTGCTGCAAGAAAGAAAGACAGTCCGCAAGCTACGAGCTGCCCTCGACGAACACGCTCCGCCCTCGCAGAAGAATCCCAAGAATGTGCAGTTTCCCAAACTTGCGCCTGGCGACAATGAGCGCAGGTTTGAGAGGTTTATACGTGCAATCAGACAGACAAATTCGCTCGCAGATGCTAGAAGATTTCGTAGCGAGGTCTCAAGCCAGCTGCACAAAGACTCGATGATTGAAGGCCAGGATCCTGTCTACTTGCGGCGTCTCGAGACAGCACGGCAAATACTCGATAAAAAGGTTGCTACTCTCAGCGCTGGCGGGTCGGTTCGAGCCAAAGTCGCAGCACAGGAAATGCCAAAGCATAAGCGTTCGTCATCCAAATTCGCAAACGCATCCTTGCGCGAAGTGATGTATGACGCGTCAGGCCTGTCATGCTTCATGGAGTTCATGGACCAGGCAGACCTCATGCGTCTTGTGCAATTTTGGATCGTTGTGGATGGGTTTCGCAACCCATTAGAAGTAGAGACTGAAGAAGGCCAGGACTACGTTGGCACGCTCCCTGCATGGACAGAGTCGGATCGCACGGATTTGGCACAGATTTATGAGGCTTATTTGTCAAAACCAGAACTCAACATTCTCCCTGAAGCCCGGCGAGCCGTTGCAGAGTTTCTCAAAGCTGGAAGGAAAGCGACACCGCAGCAATATCACAATGCACGGCATTCTGTATTACGTGCCCAAACAGCCGCATACGAACAACTACAAGAACTGTATTTCCGGCGCTTCAAGAAGTCCAACCTGTACTACAAGTGGCTGGCTATGGATGAAGCAGTGAATGCCGACAAGGACACTACCGAACAGAAAACCATGGTGCAACCGCAGGAAGCTCCTCCTCCCACCCCACCTCCCATGGCTCGCAGACATTCAAGACAAAAGGCTTCATTGACTATACCACAAGGAGATCTGCGCCGAGCAGTTGCCTCTTCCTCAGACCTGAAAAGCCAAGGCGCAATTAAAAATGCCGAGCCACCTGCAAGACGCTCCTTGGATGTAGCTCCATCAACATCTACGCGCGCGCCTTTGTTCGATGACGATTACGACTCTGACCCCCTTGCGCATTCGATTGCGAGTTTGAACTCAGACTTTGGGCACGACCGCACTGGCGGCCACGACACACGAGTAGTTGATGCTATGCAGGCTGCTCTGAATGACATCATGGATGAGCCGGAAGGCTCCATCTTCTATGAACCAGGGTTGAAATCTCCTGTAGATAATGAATCCATGCATGGCTCTGTCGATCTACCTCGGGCATTTTCGCCAAACCCTCAGATACAGCAAAGCAAAGATAGTCTGAGGCCGAGCATAGCATCACTAGGTCTGGTTGGTGAGCCCAGAACACGTGGTGTCTTTGACGACGATTTATTCGGAGACGAGCAGAAATTCTTAGAAGACGAAGTCGATGATCCATTACCAACCGAGAAGACAGAAGACGAGGAAATACATGAAGCGGCGCCCGGAGATCTAGGCTTAGCAGAGGCTATCGATGCACTTACCGCTGATATTGAGCGTCTGGTAACACAGGAGTCTATCGTGGATTCGCTAACATCCAAGGCTGAGCTGACTAACAACGCCGCTGAGCTTAGAATCTTGCGCAAGTCGAAAGCAAGCCTGCAGCGGGAGATTCAGCGAAAGGAACTTCAACGGCAGCAATACATTGTTCAAGAGAGCGACAATAGTCTGTACGGGCGCGCCACCGTGTACATTCAGTCAATCATGGTTGGCGCAGAAGAGGATGGAAAGGAATACGCCATGTATGTTATCGAAGTTCGACGCCGCGCTGGGGATCAGATGCCTGCTGCTACCTGGGTCGTCTCACGAAGGTACAGTGAGTTTCATGACCTCAACAAGAGGCTCCGGGCAAAGTTCCCTGAAGTTCGAAATCTGGAGTTCCCGCGCCGCCAGATGATGCTTAAGCTCCAAAAGGACTTTCTGCACAAGCGACGGCTTGGCCTAGAAAAGTATTTGAGAGAGCTACTACTTATTCCAGCAGTGTGCCGCAGCCGTGAACTGCGGGCCTTTCTCTCTCAAGCTTCCATTAATCCCGCGGATGCTCTCAAGAACCAAAATCCAAACTCGAATGACTTCGTCACCCGCATCTACAACTCCGTCGCAGATGGCATGGAAGAGTTCCTTGGCAACATTCCAGTCCTTGACCAACTGTCAGTAGCGGGTCAAAATCTCATCTCCGCTGCTACTACACAGCTTGCGAGTACAAACGGCGCCCAGCCCGGAAGCCTAGCCTCTTCTGGTGTATTGGTGGCAGGCGAGTCCAACCATGATGCAGAAGCCGAAGCTGAACTGCTCGCATTCGAGAACAAAGAATTGGAACCTTTCGTAAAACCAATATGCGACCTCTTCTTGGAAACGTTTGAGTTGAACCGCGAGAACAACTGGCTCCGCGGCCGCGCTGTGGTCGTAGTCCTCCACCAGCTCCTAGGTGGCACCATCGAGCGCAAGGTGCGCGAGTCGTTGAATGACCTACTCTCCGAAAACAACATTGTCAAGTACGTCGACTCGTTGAAAGATAGCATGTGGCCAGACGGCCGGATGAAAGCCGGGGTCGAGCGAACAAGCCAAGACAAGGAGAAGAGCAGAAAAGCGGCGAGCGATGTTTTGAGTACCTTGGTACCAGAGTTAGCCAGCAGTGTGGTAGGGAGGCAAAATGCGCAGTTGGCAGCAAAGAAGTTGGAGGGGACTATTAATAACAGCCGGTTGAAGTAAGTTCACGTTGAGGCGTTTGCAATGCAAATACTAACAGTATGCAGTACGCATCTTGTCTTCACATTACTTGACGAGATTCTCCAGGTGCTCTTTCCGGATGTATTTACGAAGTAATGTATTTATGAGAGAGAGCATTGCATAGCCGGCGTCATCCTGGGTTGGGTTTTTGAGTGCTACACTTGCATTAAACGTCATGTACATGTTTCATCGTATTCTTTTCTTCTTCGGGTTTTCTGGTTGTCGACGGATCTTCTTTCATACTCTTCATGAATGGGGTCACTGTTCTTCCTACTCGTGCGGAGTCTGTTTCTGAATAGGTTTTTTTGTGATGAGCAAATGACGGTGCGATTGGTACGAGGGTTCTGCGTCTCATCTATCACTAAGCTCTGGAATGATCTGATCAAGCCTTCATCCTTGCTCGTCAAGTTTTGCTGGCTAATACTGATATTCTAAGCTAAGCTGATGCAGGTGCCCGTATGTGCATGCACAAATGTTTCGTTCATTATCTGGGAGTTTGCTGCTATCTTGGGCATACGTTTATGGTCTCACCAGTCCCCCTTCTGTATTAGGCCAGGCGGTGTTGAGTGTTGTGTATATCCAATGCCCTTCACCATTCGCGCTTGCCTAAACAAGAATCCTACACTTCACTTTCACCACTCACTCCCGCTTACAAAGTTTTCCTGCTGCCTAGTGCTCGCAAAAACACGAGCAACCTTTTTCTCTCTCAAAACCACAACCCTCCCTCGTACCTTCCACACTTACAACAACCAAAAACTTGTTTGCCAACTCTTTCTGGGTACCCAAATTGTTACTTTGAAGTGATTACAACTACTCAACATGTTCGGCAACGGCCGACGTGGTGGCAACGGACAAGGCGGCGATCGAGACCGCGGTCGCGGTCGCGGTCGTGGTCATGATCGTGGTCGTGGTCGTGGCCGTGGTCGGGGAGACGGCGATAAAGAGTATGCACGCGAAGCAGCTCTTACTAGGATCGAAGAAACAGAAGAGCAATGTCAAGCGCGGAGGACATACGGCTCATGGAGGCGATTGCTTGGTGAGCCGGAGAACGACCCCAACACCATGCGACGATTCTGGAAAGGCGCGCTCGATATACTGGAGTCAGGAGATCGAGACCGACTCCAGCAGCTCCCCCAGGACCTAAACGACGAAAACGAGGCAGGACATCGTCATATCCTTGCCTTGCTGAACACCAAAGTCAATGGTATTGACTACGAGACATTCATCAGCAATGCTCGCAACTTCCTCCTTACAATCACGCACTCTTCACTCCTGCGATGTCTGGCTGTCGATACTCATGTCGGGCTCATCTACAATCTCTTCGGTGGTGTCGGTGGAAAGAGAGCGGTTGCATTTCTCCGTCGCCTTATTCAAGCTCTATTGGCAGCTCAAACTGCTGGGATGGCTTGGCTTTCAACAGAATACTTCAGGCAAACACTTCTCGCTATGTCCATTGCTGTGTTTGAGTTGTTGAGGCGCGAGTCCAGGGCGCGCTTCAATGACGAGATCCCCACACTGGTCGATTCCATACAGGCTGCCACCGATACCGTCAAGGGTGTTGTCTCAAACACGCCAGCGCTCATTCAAAACCGACTCAAAGACATTCGAGCACTGATAACGCGCGCTCAAAGCCTCATCGCTGACAAAACTCTGGACGACAGCAGCACTGCTGACGATGAGGGAAACACATCCTTCTACCCGCGCGACCTGATTGTACCTTCGAATCGTTTCGACAATGACAAGAAAGACATTGTTGAAATAGTACTGTTCCCTACCCGAGACGAGATAATGAGCGATGCAAAAGAATTTCTTCCATATACCGACCGCGACCAACCTCACTTTCTCGAAGATCCTGTGCAGCGCCATATCGATACCTTTTTCAGATTGTTACGCCACGATATCTTCGGCGAGCTGAAAGGGGCTTTGGCAGGGATCATGCACGCGATAACTCAGAATCCTACAGCACCATTGCAACCAAGACTATATCTTGGCGATGTGCGTGCCAATTACTATGCCAACGCTCGATTGTGTTTTGTTACGCTCGAAAGCAGAAAGGGCCTGCAGGCACAGATTGAGTTCACTCAACCAGGCGAAGTTCGCAAGAAAAAGGCTACAGAACGAGAGCAATGGTGGGCAGACTCGCGAAGGTTTGATGAAGGCGCGCTGCTTTCTTTTATATGGATCGATGGTGTTGTCGCTCAACACGTCTTCCTCACCGTCTCATCTAAGACCACCGATCCTAAAAAGGCGTATGGGCTGACGAACAGTGATCAAATGGCCTACATCACGACTAGTCTGGTTACACAAGATCGAGCGACAGTGAAGAACTTGATGAGAGCGAATACTGGAGCAGCTCGTGGGTTGTTACTAGAGTTTCCAAAGGTGATGCCAGCGACTTTTGCCCCTGTTCTGGAGTGCCTCAAGGCAATGCAGCGCTTGAATCGCCTACCATTCCAGCAGTGGATCGTGCCCCCCAAACATGACGGTCCTCCAGGGGCACGTAAGATGCACCACATCCCCCCGCCCCTCTATGCGCGCACTGCCGGTTTCAAATTCTCCTTGTTGCCCATCGTGACAGAAGAGAACAAAATTCAACCATTCCTGATCGAGCCCACACATTCATGCGACGACGAAGTCTTGCTTGCCAAAGTTGAGAGCAAGACACAGCTTGATCGGGGGCAGTGCCGGGCCCTAGTGGCAGCGCTTACTCGCGAGTATGCATTCATTCAAGGTCCTCCTGGAACTGGCAAGAGTTATGTTGGGCTCCAAATCATGAAGGTTTTGTTGGCTGTCGATAAAAATGCCAATCTGGGACCAATGCTGATTGTATGCTACACCAATCATGCACTAGATCAGTTTCTTGAGCATCTGCTCGATATCAGTGTGAAGAAGCTTATCCGTGTGGGAGGCATGAGCAAATCCAAGAGGCTGGAGAATCACAACCTCCGTGGAGTGAGCGAGTCGGAGAAAAACACAAAAGCAGAAAGGTACATGGCGGCTTTGTGTTACAAAGAGTTGAATAATAAACAGAAAGAGGCAAAATCACTCTTTGCTGAGTTACACGCGCTGCAAAAGAACTTGGACTGGCAGCATATCAAAAGCCACATTTATGAAGGATACCCCACAGTATACCGTCAATTCCGCAGTGTCGACGACGAAGGATTCCAACTAGCTGGGCGCCATCCATTCGATATCTGGAGCACGGACAATGAGATCCCTCGCACGCCAATTCCAGCAAGAGTGATGCAACAAATCATTCAGAAAGCCAACACGGATGTACACTCGTTGAGCACTCAGGAGCGGGGTGCTCTGGTCACGCATTGGATTAGGGAAGCCCAGAGCAACAGAATTTGCGAGCTCTATGAGATTGTCAATGATGTTGCAAAGATCCAGCGGCAGCTAGACAACATACATGAGGAAGTGAACCGAAGAGTATTGGAAGAAGCGCAGGTCATAGGAGTCACGACGTCTGGTCTCGCAAAGCGAATTTCAGTTCTCCAGCAAGTCAGATGCAAAGTCATTATTTGCGAAGAAGCAGGAGAGGTCATGGAAAGTCATATGATTTGCGCCCTGCTTCCCGATGTCGAGCATGTGATCCAAATTGGCGACCATGAGCAGCTCAGACCTTCAGTAAACAACTTCCAAGACCTGTCACTCGAGAGCGAACGAGGAAAACTTCATCAGCTTGACAGAAGTCAGTTCGAACGACTTTCGGTTGGTGAGCCGGGGCGTCCTCTAATGCCTGTTGCTCAACTGAACGTACAGCGAAGGATGCGTCCACAGATATCTTCGCTGATTCGTGAGACTATTTACAGCAAACTTCAAGATCATACTTCCACCACCAAATTGCCTGATGTCATTGGTATGCGACAGAATGTTTTCTGGCTCGATCATACCAAATTTGAGGCTGAGAGTGACACCAATGCTCAAATTACAAAGTCCAAGTCAAACTTGTGGGAAGTTGAGATGGTTCATGCGCTAGTTCGGCATATCATTCGCCAAGGTATCTACAAGTCGGACGAGATCGCGGTGTTGACGCCATATACCGGGCAGCTTCAAAAGTTGCGGGCTGCTATGAGAAGCGATTTCGAGATATGTCTTAGTGACCGCGACAAGGAGGCACTAGAGAATGACGGCTTCGCAATAGACGATGGTGTTACGCAAGCACGAGAAGCATCTGGACACCAAGGCAAACCGTTGGAGAAGAAGCAGCTGTCTGAACTGTTGAGAATCGCTACGGTCGACAACTTCCAAGGGGAAGAAGCGAAGATCATCATTGTTTCGCTCGTACGAAGCAATGGCAAGCAGAAGGTTGGGTTCCTCAAAACAACAAACCGTATCAACGTCTTGCTTAGTCGCGCTCAACACGGCATGTATCTCATTGGTAACACGGAAACCTACACGAGTGTTGAAATGTGGCAGAAGGTCATCGATATGCTAAGAGCCGCTGGTTGCGTGGGAAAAAGCCTGGCCTTGTCTTGTCCTCGACATCCAGCGACGCCTATCCAAGTACAAGAACCCAATGATTTCCAGAAATACAGTCCAGAAGGTGGATGCATGGAAGCCTGCACTGATCGTCTCGAGTGTGGTCATCGCTGCGGGGCAAGATGTCATTCGGAGGCTATGCATGTCGTGTTCCGGTGCGAGCAGCCCTGTCAACGCCAACACCAACCCTGTGGCCATCCATGCCAAAAGGCTACGTGCGGAGAACTTTGTGGCAAATGCATGGTTCTTCTGGACAATGTGCAGCTTCCATGTGGTCATTCCAAACATTCAGTCGCCTGTCACCGCACCCAGAATATCGGTAGCATCTCTTGCGATGTCAAGGTCACGAAGCGTGTGCCTGGCTGCGAACATGACGTGGTTGTGAAGTGCTCTTTAGCCATTTCTTCACAAGGCTACAGCTGCCCTACTCCGTGCGCGGTAGCGCTATCCTGTGGTCATCCTTGTCCTAGAACTTGCGGCCAATGCAACACCAAGGATAGTCATGGTCAACCAGTGGTCAAGCATTTCGCTTGCCAAAAGATATGCGGTAGAAAGCATGGGACCTGCAGTCACAACTGCAACAGCCCATGCCATGATGGCACTGCCTGTGGGCTATGTCAAAACCCCTGTGAAGTAAGTTGTGCAGATGTCCTTCGACTGCGCTTTCTGACAAGTTACAGGTACGCTGTAAGCACACCAAGTGTCCACATAAGTGTCATGAGACTTGTGCGCCGTGCACTGAGCAATGCGTATGGTCATGCGAACATCAAGGCGCCTGCGAAATGCCTTGTTCAGCACCCTGTAGTCGACTACCCTGTGACGAGCGCTGCACGAAGGTTCTGCCATGCGGCCACCAATGCCCGAGTATCTGCGGCGAGGAGTGCCCCACGGAGTACTGTCAACAATGCGGTATGAAGCCTGAGGAACAGACCGATATGATCATGATGTCGTGTTACGCTGATGTCGATCTCAACGAATCACCCATAGTTGTTCTGAGTTGTGGTCATTTCTTCACAACTGAGACTCTGGATGGCCTTGTCAGCCTCAAAGAAGTATACGAGCTTGATACGAAGACAGGTCGCTTCACTGGCCTGATTGACAATGCGGAGCTTTCAGCAACGATTCCGCAGTGTCCAAACTGCAGAGAGCCTATCAAGCAGTACGTCACGCAACGCTACAACCGTCTCATCAATCGAGCTGTCATCGATGAGATGTCCAAGCGATTTATCGTCAGTGGACAACAGGAGCTTCAGATGCTAGAGGATAGACTTGAAGCTATGCGAGACAAGCTTGAAGAATCGCGAAAAACAGTTGTCCCAGCATCTCGCATCTTGGCCCGCGGCAACGTTGCTCACGAATTGACGATGCAACGACTCAATGACAGAATCAAGGAGAGATATGTGGAAGCGATCAAGTTGATGAACGCTGTAAAGTCTTTCCGTCGCAGAGTGAATGTTCAGCATCAACCTGCGTACAAGCTGCATCAAGCGACGATGCACAGCATTGCAAATAGCACTTCTCTCGACACTAAGTTTGCCAAATTGGCTATTGGTTCGTCTAGCCAGTCCTTGGAGCGCGACCGCGACCAGCGCGTCACTTTGGGCGGTGCTCTTCTCGAAACCAAAGTGCAATGTTTGATACTGGAGGACAACTTTGAAATCGCGCGAGCTGTCAGCCTCCTGAAGATTGATAGAGCAACACCACTCAGTTTCAGTGGAGGCTCGCCCATGTCGAAGACGGAGCGGTTCCTCAAAGATTGCAAGAAGTTGATCACTGAGTGCAGGTCGGAATGCCTACCCAAGCTAGCAGTCGAAGCAATTTTGTACTACGCCCGCATTGCTCAGCTGTTCGGTGAATCCAGAGTCGCCAAGAATACTGATCGCACAAAAGCTATGGATTACCGCAAGGACGCCCAAGAGCTTTTGGCAGAGGCAAAATTTCTTTGCAAGCATTCTTTCCGTGGTCGAGACACTTTGCTGCAAGCCATAGACAGCACTTTAAAAATGCTACGCAGTGAGTTCTACGAGGAAGTATCAAAGGAGGAATTGGATACCATCAAAAAGGCAATGGTCAGCGGACCTCGAGGAATTGCAACTCACTCAGGGCACTGGTACAACTGCATCAATAGACACCCAGTAAGTCACCCAATCACTATATTCATGGTCCGGACACTAAGTTACTTAGTTTGCGATTGGAGAATGCGGCATGCCCATGGAGTTGGCTCGCTGTCCAGAATGCGGCGAGACGGTAGGTGGCCAACACCATACTGCCGTTGCTGGTGTTTCACGGGCATCGGAGATGGAAAACTGAGCCGGCAACAGCATACCCTGGTTTGCAGATAGATGGATGCATGGCGACGCAGAACGGGAATTTACAGCATCGAAAACAGCGGGAATGGTGACTAGCCGCTCGGTCCGTGGCAGATTGCGTGCTACGTTTGGCGATGCAGCTATATCTGTTTTCTGTGTACAGGACCATTACACAGCGCCCATGGCGGGTACACCGCCTTTTCCGTATCACCATGTCGGCTCAGTCGGGTAAGCGATTGATACATATTGGAGGTATATCAGAACAGGCGAAGTGAAGGAACAAGCATATGCTAGAACAGAAGACATGTAGATTGACTAATGAAATGAAGAATTGGATGAGAAACACTTTCTCGTTGGCGCGAGCTGGGAAACAGCAACGCTCAACATGTGCATCCCAAATCACCGTGAGAGGCACGGCAGCTGCCCGGTCGGCTCCCCACGCCATCGCAAGAAGAGATGGAAGAGAAGGGACGCAGCGAATATTCCCACTTCTACCTTCATCTCTCCACTGGCTTGAAGACATCGCTACGTACTCTTCATTGTTAGTGTTGTATCAAAACATCACCGGATCCTGCACTCGCTCTACATGCGCTTTCGAAAACTATTCCACACCGCCATGTCAAAGCCAAGCCCGTCGCCAACAACGCAGGTTACGAACCCACCTACCAGCCCGGATACATCACCAAGAAGCTTCGTTGGGCCTCCACATAGTATCAAAGGCCGGCTCTTTGCCATTACAGGGGCAGCATCGGGCATCGGCCGAGCAACAGCTACACTGCTCGTTGAAAGCGGGGCCAAAGTCTCGCTGGCCGACAAGGACGAAGAAGCTGTTCTGAAGCTAGCAAAAGAACTCGGAGCCAATGCGACGGGATCCAAGGTCGACGTTACCAAGAGGGATGAGGTGGAGCATTGGTTGGCGCATGCAGCTTCGCGGTGGGGAATGCACTGCATTGACGGTAAGTCTTCTTGCAGAGCCCCAAGAACGCTTGTCTCGAGCTTCTGCGTAGCATCACTGCATATGCGTACTCTCCTAACTCACTCGTTGTAAAGGCGCCGTGAACCTCGCAGGTATCGCTGGCCATCTTGGGTCCGCCAGGGACCACGACACAGCCAACTATCAGACTGTCTTCGCCGTCAATGTCGAAGGCACATTCAACTGCATGTCGGCCGAGCTGCGCAACATGCGCGTCGCAAGCGAAGGGGTACCAGGCGGATCTATTGTCAACGCAGCATCAATAACAGGCCTAGTCGGCAAGCCCAACTGCTCCATCTACTGCGCCTCCAAACACGCAGTCATTGGCCTCACAAAAGCAGCAGCTCGCGAGCAAGCCGAGTCTGGAATCAGAATTAATGCCATTGCGCCGTAAGTTTTTTTGCTCCTCCCCCCCCCCTTCCCCAGTTTCTTGTCGCCCAAGGAAAACTGCCTGTGCTTCTTCTTCTTTTTTTTCTTCTTCGCCCTCGTCAATATTGTTGTCGCGGTTTGTTGGGTGCGACGCCCATAACATGTAACAAGGCAGCAACGTGGTGCAAGAGGAGACCCGAATATTGGCACTAAGACGTATATCGCAGGGGATTCGTCGACACACCCCTCATGCACGCTCTCGACACAGAGCTCGGTTTCGCACTGCCAAATGACGCGGTGCTAGGGCGGCGAGCGCGCCCAGACGAAGTCGCCAAAGTCATTCGCTTCCTGCTTAGCAGCGACGCAAGCTATGTATCTGGATCGGTGTATCAGATTGATGGTGGGATGGTGTGCTGAGCGTAGGAGTTTGAATTTGCCGATAAGGACGACAAAGGGGGGGAGGGTGTGGAAGAAGGAAAGAAAAGGAAATCCCGCGGCGGGGCAAGTTGAATGATATACGCAAGCGAGAACATGACGGATGTGGGTGCTTTCGTTTATGCTTTTTCTTCATATAGTCCTGGGATCAAAACGAAGGGGCTAGCGCCCGTCAAAGTCTGGTAGGTGTGTGTGGGGAAACGGGGAGGAGGACAAGTTATTCGAGACGCCTCTGGTTCAGATACTTTGGTAGCGAACAACAACGGACGTTGATAATCTACTGCATGTGCATGTGCCACATGCGAAAAAAAGGAAAAGGGAATGAAAAAAAAAGAGGAATATGCAGCAGTCCTGCGTCGGTAATACTGCCCGAGAACAAGTAAAACTGCAAGGGGAAGAGGGAAAGCGAAGGCGCGAGCGATGGAGCAAAGCATGCAAACGCTGGGCGATAAGTACAGAACCATGCAAGTTTTGCACCCATGTAAGGCATCGTTCTGCAATAACTCGATCTCGCTTTTTTGCTTTTTTGCTTCCGATCGAAATGCACTAGTCTGGGAGGTAGTAAAGTATATCCGGGGGGGTATATGATTAAATATGACTTGTATTACAGTACTTTCTTTTTTTTGCGCGAATATTCTGATGCATGAACAAAAATCAACAGGTGATGCCCTTTACATATCGCAATAAACCTGGGACATGTAGGATTCCAGATATAACGATGGATGTGAAGAGATGGAAAGAGAGATGGGGTATTGAGGGGGGAGGGAATGGCGCAGCCAGGGGATATCAAGGGGAATGAAATCAGTGGATAGATAACTCTCTCGGACATGGAACGAAAGAAAGTGTCAGCGTAAAGGAAAGAGAAAAAAAAACAAATTAATAAACATCTCAGGCACACACACACACACACACACATTTGTAGCAACGCCATGCAGCCCAAAAGAGCCAACTAGCTAAGTAGCGCTTTCTCCGACTCCAACGACGACGATGACAGCAACAATACATACATACATACATACATACACACACACATAGACAACACCCCCCCCCCCCCCTGGCCCCCTCTTTCCCACAAGGCAACCAATCTGCAGCTGCAAAAGCCAAACACGTGCGTGCGCAAGCTTCCACACGAGCTAAAATGCGCATTCAAACGTTTTTGCCACCATCTCACATGCACGTTTTTGGTATCCCGCCGCGTGCGCCCGCCCCTTACTTAGGCCCCCTCCCCCCCCCTTCCGTCCTCTCCACATCAAACACACGCGCGCACATACACACACACGCGCATTTTCCCCCAATCAACTAGTCAGTCAGCTAGCCAGCCGTGCGCGCGCGCGCGAGAGAGAGAGAGGTGGGGGGGGGGCCTTGACTTTGAGAGCCGGCGTGGCCGAGAGAGAGAAAGAGAAAGAGAAAGAGAGCAAAACAAGGCCTCTTGTCACACGTGCTGCTAGCCCTCTTTAAGTAACTAAACCCTAGTTACGCCTTTTTTTTCACGAGAAAGAAGGACTAGGAAATGGAGACATGGTTTGATGTGTTTTTATTTGTTTCTCGCATTTCATTCACTTATGTACATGCTCGGCAATTTGTAGTGTAAGTTATTGCGATGATGATGATGATAATGATAATAATGATAATTCTTCTATAGCCAACAACGCGACAAGTTCCCCTAAAGGAAAAGGAGGTGGCCAAAATATATAGTGCATTTATATGTACGTATGTTTTGTGGGTGTAGTGTAATGTGCCGTGAACAATGAAACTTTGCCATCTTTCCCTTTTCCCTAAGTAAGTATCCCCACATATACCGACAATCCCCCCTCCCCCCACAATGGAAGTCCAAAATTATGGAATTCCCATTCAAAGTATTTGGAAAAAAAATTAACCAAAAAAAAAGAATTAGTTGGACAAATCAAGTCCTTTCCGCAATAGTAGTAGTGGTTGTTGTTAGTTGTTAGTTGTTAGTAGTAGTGGTTGGTGGTGGCGGCGGACGGACGGACGGACGGACGTGGACGGAGCGCTGCTTTCTGCCACTGCTTTTGCTGATCAACGCGCGCGCACGCGTGCGGACTTGGCTTTTTTGTCACCCCCCCTCTCACTCTTTTCTACCTACCGCGACTAAACCCCATTCGACAAGAACCGCAAAAAGTAAAACACGACAGGAAAAAAAGAAGAACATGGGGGGCGGTAAGCTGACGAATCCCATTGGCCAATTAGTCACCTATCAGTTGGGGGGAGGGGGGGGGGCGCTCACAATTTGATCCCAGGGTTTCGGCGCACGCAAAGTCATCAGATGTACTTTTTTTTCTTTTGGGAAAAACAGGGATTTCATTACAGTAGCGTGGAAATGGGTCCTTGTTCGGAATGGGGAATGGTGTGCGGTGGGAAGAGAAAGACTGCCGTATCCAAGCAAGTGATACGGAAGGAAAAAAAAGAGGGAAGAGCTAACACCAACACCGACGTAGATAGTGAGTGGCCTGGGGCGGAAACAGGCAGTTGGCTATGAGTAAGCGGGTTAGTCAGGTGGAGAGGGATGTCGACATGAACTACACGTGGGGCTAGCGTGGTGGACATTTGAAACATCAGGCAGCAAGGGCTCAGAAAAGCTTGGCTGCATTGCTTGGTCTTGGTTCGACCGATATCGTGTTTCTAGTCATGTTTGGTGATACGAGAACGCGATGGGGGCATTCCTGCTTGACTATGCATATGCAAGGTCGCAAGCAAGATAGAGAAAATGTGACCACCTCACGCGATAACAACATTCCTTGTAAAATGACATGTTTCTTTAGTACCACATTAGCTGGGCGCTACGCGAGACGAATTGGAGCGTGGACTCTCGAGGCGCTGCACTAAAACCTTAATGCTCCCGCGATCACCCAGCCCCTCTCCAGTCCCAGCTACGGGGAGAAATCTCCGAAAACTAAATCCAACATCATGATTCCATAATGGCGCACTCATCTCCTCGTTTCATGCTCCCCCATCTTAGCAAACACCTTCTCGTGCCGAGGGTCGGCGGGTAGCGTTTGTATAATGACAGTGTCAAGCTCGCGATGCGATCCATTCGAGCCAATGCGCTGGCGGTATTTCCAGTCTGAGTCTACGCTGCGGTCGCTGAGCACAACATCTTCTTGTGAAGGCGGTTTTCCCCGCACACGGTTTGCCAATGTTTGACCTGCAGAGACGAACCAGGGGAGGCGGCCTGGAGGTTTTACTAATTTGACAGGGTTAGCGCATGCTCATGCTCATTGGCCTTTGTATCTAGGGTCTTGTCAAGCACCCTGAAAAACTTACTAGTCCAGTATTCCCGGTTATCTTCGTCATCAGGAACAATATAGCCTCCGGAAATGATTTTAGTGAGGTAGATCATGCCGTTGAGCGTCGTGTAAACCATGAGACCCGCAATGAGACCATAGGCCGCGCTATAGCCAAAGGGGATGAACATGACAGTAACAAAGGCCGGGATGGCGTCACCAATGTACCGCCAATTGATCGACGAGATTTGACGCATCATGAGACAGCCAACCTGTGGAGCATGTCAGGAATAACCTTTGGACGCGTAATGTTGTATACAACTAACCAGGATCAGGGTGCATCCAGTAGCCCATGGTGGAATCGACGCAAAAATCGGCGCAAAGAACATGGACAGGAGGAAGCAGACCCCACAGGTCATGGCTGTCAAGCCTGTCTTTCCTCCTTCGGCAATACCGGCGCCGCTCTCGATAAAGGCCGTCACGGGCGAACAGCCAAAAAGTGCGCCCATGGAGATGCAGAAAGCGTCTGTACAATAGGCGAGCGTCGACCTGGGGAAGTCTCCAGTGTCTGGATCTACGACGCCAGAAAGGCGCGCCATCGAGTAGAGTGTAGCCGTGCAGTCGATAATGTCCACGTAGAGAAAGGTGAAGAGAGCGAGTGCGAAGTGGCCCGATTTGCCAGCTATGTTCCAATCCAGCACGTTCAGGGTCCGGTCAATATGGTGGAACTCGGCTACCTTTTTGAAAAAGCTGAAACGATCGTCGCCGATCTCGGTTCTTGGAAAGTACGTCACTGGCGTGTCTCGTCTACGCGAACGTTAGTCTACTGGGCTGTCCAGGGAGGCTTGTCGCACACGTACGGCCATGAGATGATGGACACGAGAAGGATAGCCAACATCATGGCACTTTTGACTTTGTATGACATTAAGTATGCCGTCAAAATGCCGCCTGCCATGATACCAAGCCACATCTACGTGCGCTGATTAGCAAAGCCCCTGATTCATGGTAGAACAACCTACTGTCGGAGAAGTCATCTTGTGGCTTGTGCAAGCACCATAATCATCCTTGTATTGATCCGGACATCCAGCAATATCAAGTGGCGTACTCTTGGCTCCAGAGATGGCTCCAATGCCAGCATTGCTACTAAGACCAACCTCGGCCAGAAACAGTCCAATGCCGCAAGCAGCGGCAATTTTAAGCGACACGGGAATGATCTTGACGAGCCATTGTCGCATTCCAATCAAAGACAAGAAGATGAAGATGAAGCCCTCGACGAAGACGGCAGTCAGTGCGAGATTGTAGCTGATGAGGCCGCTCCCGTGGAAACCGACGATTTGGTAGGCAAAGTAGGCGTTGAGTCCCATTCCCGGGGCGAGACACACTGGCATGTTGGTCAAGAAGCCAAACAAAAAGGAACTGAAGCCGGCTACAGCTGCTGTCGCGGTAATGAGACTGCGGTGGAGATCTGGGCGCGGGTTAGTTGTGTCTGGGGCTCCATGTGCAGGATTGCTCGTGCCTTGCTTGCAGATGAGATACTCGCTGTTCTTCATACACAGCTTATCGGCAGCGTCGTTACATACGCAGTTTCCGCCGGTATCGGAGAGAACGGTGGCCTGGTTCGTTCAGTAAGGCGTGGCGGGCATGCGACATTTGGCAGACTGACGTTGACGGCGATGATGTACGCCATGGTAAAGAAGGATGTGAGGCCAGCTCGAACTTCAGTGGTAAACCGGGTGTGCTTGATCTCATCGTCCTGTAGGACGAGTCAGCGACGGGGAACAGGGACCGGGTCAGCGGCGACAAGACGCACATGTCCAGAGCCGTCGAGGCGAAAGATCCTGCCAAAGGTCGACTTTCCAACGTAGGCGTTGAAGTTGTCGATGGCAGTGTGGAGAGCCTCCATGGCTGCAGACGAGTGAAGGGCTAGACAAGCAAAAGGTGGAGGTGCGGATCTTTGCTGCAAGAGGGGGAGGCAGGAGGACAGCACAGGATCAGCCTCGGGCGACTATAAGTGTCTTGCGGTGGGCGAGGTAGAAGCAAGCATGAACGAGGCCTCAGCAAAAGCAGAGGGCGTGTCTGGGACGGGCAACTGGGTCGAGTAAGGTTGAAGCCATAAGCAAAAGGGCAGACAATAATGCCACAGGGAAGATAAGGCACAATGGAGGCTGTCCTAGTGTGCGAACCAGGACGAGTGCGAGGGCCCAGACAGCAAGGCTCCGCCAGGATGCAGAGGCGGGGGGCAAGGGAACGAGCGAGCACGAGCAGAGTGACGCAGCGCGCCATGGGCTGGCTGGGAGCCCAAGACGCCTGGCCCTGCGGCGGCATGGGTCTCGTCGTCGACTGCACGGCGGCAAGAGCGTTGGTGGTGCAAGCGAGAGGGCGGGGCCTGGGCTTGTGCTAGGGCGGCGGGCGTGGCGGGCGTGGACGCATGCAGTGGGTGGGCGGAGTGGGCGAAGTGGGCGTAGTGGTGGTGGTGGTAGTCCAAGGGCAGTAGTGGTAGTGGTGCAGGTCGAGGCGGTCGTGGTCGTGTCGTGTCGTGGGCGCAAGGGCTGGAAGGGCGGCGAGTCAGGGGCCTAGCGCGGCCCAAAGCGGCTAGCCAGGCACCGGCGGCCCCTGCTGATGCCGCTGCATCCTGACTGGTGCGTGCTGCTGATCGCCTCGTCGCCGCCCCGCATTCGCGCCAGGTGACGGCACGACCAGCGACGACGATGGCTGGGCCTGCAAAGCTTCCAACTTCCCCCGGGGCCACTCTTGCGCCATGTCGCCTATCCTTTCTTTTCCGGCCATCCAGACGCCCTCCACTCGCCGCCGCGAGTTCGCGCCATTGCGCCGCCGCGCCGCTGCCCCGGGCTTGCGGCACTTGTCGTCGTGCCGTGGCTGTCGAGGCCGGCAAAAGGCGAGCCAGCGTCAGTAACGTCCACGATCATCGCCCTCATCTCGCACCCGAAACAATACGGGCTGCCAGTGCGTGCAGAAACAGGACCGACCCGACCGCGCTGCCTCATGCCCAAACCTGCGAAAAACCGCCGAGCTGGTGGGCTGCAAAAGGAGAGCCCCCCCATAGGCTGGCCGCCTGCGCCTATCGCGCAGCACTGCAGTGAAGGGTGCTTTTTTCGGCGAGGGCCCGACCCAGATACACGACAGACTCCGTTGCATTGCACGCTCCCACCACCACGTGTGGCCGCACAAGTCGCCAGCCATGCGCTCGCTACTGGCCATTGTTATTATTATATCAAAGTGCTCATTGTGTTGAGCGCCCGTGCGCCCGTCGTCCGAGCACGCCGGCATCGAGGGTGGTGGGCAGGCATACTAGGGCACGTAGTTTGGCCCCGGAAAGCCCTGACGGTAGCTTTCGACTACATGGCCTTAACAGGTCAATAACGCCACAATCTCGGTGGTGCGACATGACTTGGTCAATTCCTCACATGCGGCGGGTGCAAGGTACCGCTACGTGATCCGCTTGACGGCTACGACACGATCCACCTGAAAGCCTCTCGAGCCTGTCTGCAGCACGCTGCATATTGGCCTGCGATAAGACTGCGTTTGATTCACAAATAGCCCCCAGTCCACGTCCTGCCCGCGCCTCGTAGGGTCATCGATTAGAGTGGCCCCGCTGCACCCCCGCTGCATCTCCGCACCTGTCGTTGAGCATGTTTGCAACCGACCTGCCGTTGGAGAGAGAGGCTGAGACTGTTGGCGCGAGGAGGGAACGAAAGGCAAAGGAACGAACTGGCCGCCCGCCATCTACGGGCACTTCCAACACGTCACGAAGCTCAGCCGGCTCTTTTACCAACGAGCGTGAGCTATGGTGGACCGCGAGCTTGAAGAAGGCCAAGATCATCAAGCCAAAGATCCTACGACCCTCATCTGTCCAAAGTGGCTCTTCAAGAACGACTGCCGTTACCGTGCCAGGAACGCTGGCTACACAAAAATCGCGCGAATTCAAAGACCCGGCGCTGCAGCCAGCCTGGACGTATACAAGCTCGTTTGCGACCACCCTGCCATCTGGCAACACTTTTCAGCTGGAACAACAACAACATCAAGTCCAAGAGCTCGAGGGCGACAATTCATCGCGGCAAACAAACTCTACTGTATCGCGCTTTTCGCGTAAGTTGCTGACCACTGTGCTGTACAGAGACGTGTGCTGATATCGTCGGGTAGACGACCGAAACGATGTGATTACGCCCACTACTACAGTCGATGGCGTCAGTGGCATCGACGATGTGTGTCAACAACAGAGGCTGAGTCCAAAGTCATTCGTGACGAGCCGAAGCAGGGCCAGTTCGATAGCTCCCGACTCTGCTGCCTCCGCTGCCTCTGCAATGTCGCCAGCCGCCGAAGTCAAAGGCAAAGAAAAAACGTAAGCGGTCTAGATGCACTCAATCTGTGTTTGCGCTGAACCTTTCCAGCTCCCTGAAGCCAGCAAAAGACGAGATTTCAAGGCTGGAGGCACTGGAGCTACACGACAGCTTCGACGAGCGGAAAAGTTCAAGTGATTTCCGAAAACCATCAATTGCCAGCAGCGAAATCAGCAATATGCCCAGCAAACCGTTCTCACAGTGGCAATGCCTTGCTCCCCGTGAAGCTCCCACCAAAATTCAAATGAAGACGCAGTCGCAGCCGAGTAGTACCAAGCTGGTGTCCCCCAATAGCAGCTCTATGCAACTCACTCGGTTCCAGCGCTTCATTCGCAGAATGGAGTCTGCAGGCCCCAAAGTTATCCTCGACCGACTCAAGGAGGACTGGCAGGAGTCGACGAGCGATGGAGTGGACGAAGAGGTGGGTTTTGACTTGTCCCGCATGGAATGTTTTGTTGCTAACAAGACGCCAGTTGATACTGGAAAAACAGCTCTGGCTGCTGACTGGCTTGCAAATGCAGAGCATGGGTCGCGACAAGAGCGCCCCTGTCCCAGCGTGCGACACAGGGCGGATCCTGGAGCTGTATGGAAATCTCTGTAAGTTCGCGACGGTGCTCTTGCGTCACGCTGCTGTGCAACCTCTAACAGCCATCGTCAGCTGAGGTATACCAACTATCGGCTATGCATCCGTCCCAAACGGTGCATTTCCTCTCGACCAAACAACATCGCCAAATTCCCTTGCCTGGGAACGTGTCATACCTGACGGTGCGCGAGTTTGGTGCGGTTCCGCTGCCTTTTCCCGAAGACTATTTTTCGCACATTCGAGCATCCACGCTGCCCTCTCTGGTGCCATCGGCCAAGTTGCCCGAGGTGTTTAGCGAATGTCACAAGCTGCTGGCCCCTGGCGGTTTCCTGGAAATCAGAGTCATGGACGCAGCTCCTGTGCGTAAGACGGCTGGCCCGCTAATGCGCATGTGGATCGAGGACAGGCTGTCGGTCAACCTAGAACGACTATTCCGATGCTCGAAACCATGCTCGCTGCTTCCTGCATGGCTGACGGATGCTGGCTTCGAAATGGTGGATCAAAACAAGGACCGCAAACTCACACTGCCGTGTGCGTCTGACCCGACGTGCATGAACGTCGACGAAGAGCTTTCGACCATGATTGGACGTGCTCTCTGGAAAGACATATGGGACAGTTTTGTCGACGACTGTGCCGACGAGCCAAAGTGGTGGTGGGAGGACCAGGAGATTTTGGAAGAGTGCCTGAGGTACAAGACTATGCTGGAGTGCAGGACCATCTTTGCATACAAGCGATGCACGGCCTCTTCGACGCAGCCGTAATAATCAAGGCGTTATGGTTACTGGGAGTAGTATGGTACTAGGTTTGAGATGTACTTGTGCTACAGGACACGGATACCCGATTTGCTATTATTGCTGGATGACGGATAATACCACGATTGCACTGCGACTACGAAACTGCATCTCGTGCAGTGAAAGAGACGGGCTGGACCATTGATGCGCCCCGACTGGATCGCGGGTGTCGTCACGTGACCACGCGACACTGCCAAGGCGGTCAAGGCTGAGCTAGTGCACGCTGGCCACGCTCGTTGCTCGCACCACGGCGGTTCCTCTTCGCATTCATTTCTCGAGCAGACGAAGCACGAAGATAGATTAAAACAAAAGTGGCACTGGTAGCTCGAGCCATGGAAGGTAATTAACTCATTAGTCGGTCGCGATGCATTTCTCCGCCAGACCTCAGCCGCGACGTCCGTGCCACGTATCTTGTTTCAGCTGCAGGGAGCGCAAAGCGTCGTAGCGACATGACTACCACGCGCAGCCACGATGGTGGCACTCCCGAACGCTCCCCTCCGTCAGCTCGCCTCCTGTGCCCAACAGCGTCCTTGCCGCGCCCATCTCACGTGCTCCCAAGTCACCCCATCCCCAGTCCCGCTACCGCAATTGCCTGAGTCGCTAAACAGCCCGACCACCTGAACGCCTTCTCACCTCGAGCACCCGCACCCGCACGCCCTCTCCCACGGACCCACCGTACACCCGGTCTGGCCCCTCTGCATCCGTCTCTCCCCCTGTCGGTACCCAGCGCGCCTCGATATACTCGCCACCCCAACACCCGCGCAGAGAACAAGCAACATGCTCAACTCGCTGGGCACCAAGCTCGCCCTTCGCAAGGCCGGATTAGGCAATGTCTCGCTTCCCAAGACGGACAGCTTCTTTGGCAGCAATAATCCCAGCTCAAAGAAGGGAAATGCCGCTGCCGATGACGCCGCCGCCGGCTTTGCAAACCCCTTTGCAAACGTACAATGGGGCGTCCCCAAAGCGCTGCAATCATGGCAGACGCCGCCTCCGCCACAGAACCCCGTCCGCAAGCCCCCGCAAATAGGAGATCGCGCGCAGTCACATGCCAAGTTGCCCTTTCCCGATGCCAGTGGTCGGCCGACGATACTCTTGTTTCTGAGATTCTGTGGTTGTCCTTGTACGTCCATCTCTGCTCAATGCACCTATCCGTTGACATGTCCCCTACACAGACTCTACGCTACCCAACATACAAGCGATTAATCCAATCTAGTTGCTGAAAAACTGCTCCTCCGCCTCCGCACCCTCGCAAACCGCTACCCCTCGATCCGCTTCATCGCCATCTCGCATTGTACGCCCGACGCCACGCGCAAATGGGTCAACCAGCTCGGCGGCGCCTGGAACGTCGATATGGTTGTTGACTCGGACCGCAATCTGTATGCCCTATGGGGTCTCGGCATATCGACCTGGGCCCACGTGTTGCATCCCCGCAATGGCTACAATCAGGTCATGTTGCGCAGGAACGAGGGTGTCTGGGGCCACGAGGTCGGCGAGGGCGCATGTCGCTGGCAGTTGGGCGGCGCCTACGCGATTGATGGGCGGGGTGTGGTGACGTGGGGTGGGCCCATGGAGTCTGTGGATGAGGAGATTAGGTTTGAGGATGGGGTTAAGACGCTGGGATTCGGCGATACAAGGATATGAGGTTTGGGTTTGGGTCTTGTACGATATTTGTTTGCGCATTTGAGCATAGCATGTCATGCGGTGGTATCTTTAGTCACTGTTGTTACTATATTAGAGAAAAATAGACTATACATGTGATACTTGGGCAGATGGACATGGGAGGTACAAAGACTGGCTAGCGACCTTATACTGGCACACTAACTATCTTATCAGGTCATGTGTAGGTGTAGGTGTAGGGTTACATATCAAGATCAATCAAGTGTATTTCTTGTCTCTGCCATCTACCTCCTTTACATATACACTACACAGCTATTGTTACACTATCCCTATCAAAGCCGCAACTCCTTTCTTCTTACTTTTACTATTACCGCACCGTATTCTTCCCCTTCTCCTCTTCTTCTTCTTCCCTTTCTCCCACAACCCCACCCTACCATACCATACCCAAACCACAGTAACACATCCATATCCACACCTACCCACACCTACGCCGGAATACAATCGCAATCCGAACTCCGGCATACATGCGGCGCCGTACAGTGCATCCACCGTCCGTAATCACACGCCTGACATATCCCCGTGTGGCAATCCTACGTAACAATAAATGGTTAATATAATGTACTTCCCCTTCTCCCTCCTCCTTCCTCACTCCTTCTGTATCAGGATCTCGTGGGGAAGAAATGTAAGGTTGATAGGCAATAGGGGATAGGCAATAGGGAACAGTTGGGGGGATAAAGATGGGGATGGAATGGGTTGAATTCGAACTAGAACTTACTCTCCCGGATTGACAAGGATTACCACGGGCAGATAGGACCCCGGGTTCTCGGCGCACAGGACTTAGGTGGCTGCGATCGAGGGCTGCGTGGACGTGTGGTGCGGCTGATAGGAGGAGAAGGTAGAGGTGGGGGAGGATGGGTGTGAGGTTCATGCTGCGTATTGTTATTGTTGTTGTTGCTGTTTGGCTGACGGAGAAATTGCCAATTCGAAGTTTTTGAGTGGGAGGCAGGTTCGAAATCGCGTTGATGGTACGGAAATGGCTGTATAGCTAGAAGGATGGAAAGGGAAAAAAAGATTGGGGGATTTACGCGTACAGCGAGTTATATAGTGAGTTAGATAAGCATTTAACCAGCACAGCTTAGAAATAGGGGGTAAGGTTTCTAGCCGCCGGCGAAAAATCCCGGCATTACTAATTACTTATTATTAGTGAAGCAGCCGCGCTAATAAGCCATATCTTATTACGTAGTGCTAAGCTATACTTAGTTACTAGCTTACCATAGTATTATAGCCTAATATAGCTGCCTATAGTAAACTCTACTTATAATTATATAATAAGCTACTATAGTGCAAAAGGTCAACCTTCTGCACTATGCAGAAGCTTAAATAGATATACCTGTCAGATCACGTGCAATATTTGGGTAGGTGACAGATTCCGGGTGCTCGATCACACCTGGATTCTGTGATTAGTTAGGGAGCACGGGCCAACAACTGCTCTAAAGGGGCTCTAACCATCTAATTTATAGATGGCAGTACAATCAATTGATCTACGTCTAATCTATTATAATTATAGTGTTTTATTACAGTCTTTAATCTAACCTATTATAATCTAATAATTAAGAGTCTTATCTCCTCTTAATCTAAGCGATCCGCACTATCCTATTAATTAAATATAAACGCGTTACTAAATTGGCAAATTAATGTAGTAATTCTGCGCAATGAGCATAACTATAGCGCTTAGTACAGCTAGCTAAAAGCGCGCTGCGTAGCCTATTGCATATAGGATTAAGTAAACCCTAACGCGACGACTAAACTGCTAACTACTCTAAAGTCGCTAGATCTCCTAGACATAAGCAACTACGCGCTATTAACTAGCTTAGCTCTAGGCACTGCCCTAGCAAGACTATCTAATCTATCTACAATAGGACAGCGCGCCTATAAGGAGGATCTTAAATTTTATAAGCTTAGCTTAGAGTTGTAACGGGTCGAGTCCTATTAGACTGCGCACGCAACTACAACGCGCCCACCGCGCCAAAAAGGCTGGCACAAGATATCAGAGCTGCTGATATCGTTGCGTAGTTGATACATAAGATAGCCACCGCTATCTGTACTGTAGCGGGCTACCTAGCCCGTTACAAGAGTAGTATAAAGCTAAATACGTTAAGTACAAAACTAAAACGTTAAACCTTTAGCAGATTATATTGCTTATCTAATTAACTATTGCTCTATACTTATAGCGCATATGCTGCCTACTAAATTAGCTAATTTATAACTAGATTAAGAAGCTAAAAGCCTATATTAGCGTCACTAACGCGATCAAACGCGAACAAGCGCGTTAGCGATACTACAACGCTCTTAAGCTACTAAGATTAGTAGGTAATTAGAATACTTAGCTTGCTAAATACAACTAAGCAATTACTAAAGTAGAGACACTTAAAGTGCCTAACATTACTTAGTTTTAAGTAGTAGCTGTAGACTTTCTAGCTATAGTAAATAAGATCGCGCCTATCTAGGTAGCAACTTTCTAATTACAAGGTCTAGATCCTATAAGGACTAATTAACTAAATAATTAATTAAATAAGCAAAAGCCAAATAGGTACGCTTAAATAGATATAATAAGACGTTTCTAAGAGTACATAATGCTAAATCACCCTACTACGCAAAGAAACTATAAAGGAGCGTTGGGGGGATGGCGCAGTGGTGGAGCGCCTGGAAAATTTTCTGCTGTCTCACGTCAGCAAAGATCGAAGGTTCGAATCCTTCTCCCCTCACAACCATATTTATGGTCCACCCACATGAGAGAGTTACTCATTAAACTACCCATTTGACTGAGAGAGTTACTCGTTAAAACTTGAGAGGAAGACTTATTTAAAGTGAAAGATCTGAGAGAGTTACTCACTAAAAAACTACTAGGCTACGAGCCTCACCTTCATTTAGATAACCCCCTACATTGTACCTACTTAATTTGTACCTAGATTAAATTCTAGCCTACGTAGTTACTTGCAGGCCTTAAGCCTGCACGTCTTATATAGCCCTTTAGGCTGAGAAAGGACGTTAAACTACAATAATAATAATAATATAAAGGAGCGTTTGTAGCTGCTAATCTATCTGTATATCTTACTACAAATAGGAAAGCTAACTAGCGTGGAGATAGGGACGCCTAATCTATAGAAACGGGGAACTCACATACTAAATTATAAAAATAAGGTAGACCTTAAGATTAACGTATAGCTAGTAGAGAGTATAATTAAGCTAATTAGGTAAATTATTAGGCTCTAGGCTTATACCTCTAAAGGAGAAGAGGCAAAAGCAGGATCCTGCACGCCTATTAGATAGCTAAATCACCTACTAATCTACTAAAAAGCGCGAGCGCGTATTAAAACAATACTAGCTTTTGCCTAGCGTGTGACATAAGGCACAATCTTTGTGACTGCTTCTATGTCTATCTAGAGAAGGCTCTAGAGTGGTGGATACCTAACCCACGGACAGCCAAAACTGTAAAGCTCTAAAGAGATCACGATCTAGAGTTCTAGAGCCTCCTAAGAGCCTAAAGTTGGCTAAGGACTTAGACTCTAAGAACTAAGCAAACCTATACACCTACTCTAGAGATTTAAGAAGACTGACTAGACGAGAGACAGATAGCTATAATTGAGGCCATATTCGCGGCTATATCCGTGTTAGATCGAATAGAGTATCTACTGCGTAACTCCTTTATCTTTGACTTAGGATCCACCTGCTACATCACTAATAATATAAGCTAAATATTTAATTACTATCTGCCCCTTGATAGAGACTTTATATAAGCAGGAAATAGTTAGATCTAGATTAAAGGATATAGATTAGTGATCTTAAGCCTTACATATAAAGATTAAGTAGAAAGACTTGTGCTCTACAACACTACTCTCTACCTAGATATCTTGTGCAATATTGTCTTGTTTAGAGTACTAAGAAGGCAAGGAATCTAGTAGGATAACTAATTAGATCCTATAGCGATTAAGCGATTGGATGGATTAACTATCTGCAAGCTGGTAGAGATGTATAGTTAGTGGGTACTTGAGTTTCAGCCAACTAGATTAATGGACAGAGTAGCTCTACACGCCCACTCACGCACGACCTGATAGCACTAGCGAGCCCAATAGGCGCCTGCTCTCCTCTAGCACAAGAGACTAGGACACCTAGGGCCAGTAGCGATTGAGCACCTAGTCTAGCAATCTTAGGGGGTGTGAGTTAATGGGATAACGACAGTGCAGTGCGACGCGTGTGGACGAGCGAAAATCTAGCGATAGATTAGTCGTGCTCTACGAATTAACGATTAAGGACTAGGAGAAAGGCTGTTAATTAATTTCTATAGCTATAAGGAACAATCCTATAATAAGGAGTTATTACAGTTATTAATTATAGACAATTATTTAAGGTATTAGTAGGATTTCTACCTCACAGATCACTACATAGCTAAATTAATTATCTAAGTCCTCTTAAACTACATTAAGTTTCTCTAAAATTAATACAATATCACCCTAAAGGTAATTAAAACTAATAATAAGATTACTATAGTTAAGCTAGAAGTCAAGCGTTAGCTTAGATTAAACGGCATTACTATTAAGCCTTTAGCACTAGACACTTAAGCCTAAAATAGTAAAGCTAAACGCTTAGGGGGTGTGAACAAAGAGAAAGCTTGTGCAATAAGACTAGACGCTAATATCCTATAGGAACTATAGCTAGAAATTACTTAAGCAGCTATACACCTATATAATTAAACGCTAAATTACAGCAAGTAGTAGAAAACGCTATACAAAGTATTCTTCACAAGCGTATCCTAATTAAATAGAGCAACTAGTGAAGCAGCTAGTAGAGCGGCTACGTTAATCAAGAAACTAAACCTAGCCTATCTTAAAGCCTATAGGTGCAAAGCTTTCGCAATAATTAACAATACCTATAGAGGCAAATCAAGGCTCTCAAGGCTTAATCCTAAAGCTTAGATTAGCTACCTTATTAGGTACTAATTATCTAATATCTATTAGATTTAGATCCTGTCTATGGCTTAAGTTATTAGCACAAGAGACATTATTTTTAATAAAAGCTTAATCTTTAATAGGAAAGTTAAAGATCTAATAGATAGCCTAATGCACAGCACTCTCTTAGAGATCGCAGCACACGTCTAAACAATTAAGCTCCTACAACTAATCCTAGACACAGGGATAGAATTATTTCACGAAGACGACAACAGCGTTAATACTCAAGAAGAAG